ATCGACAATCCCACCTGGACTTCCTTGAAATCTACATCTGCCCGGTGACCCAAGGGCACTCATGGCAATGTGGCGTAGTGGTTAGCTTGGGGAGATTATACGCTGCACTTCCATGGTTCGAGTTCTGCTGGGGGTGTTGATAAGACCTTTGCGAGGTCGAAACTTTAGTCCATTCTGGATGAGAATTCCTTTTGTGGAAGCACAACTATAAGAAATTCAATGGAAATGCCATATATATTCATATCATTGTGAGAAAACTCACCCTTCCCTTATCTCCTTAAACCAAATATGGTGAATTCACCTCATATTAACAATACTTATTGCTGTATTGTACAAAGAACTAATGGGTGTTTTTCAAGTAAACCATCGGCTTAAAACTAACTATTATTTTTTTCGCTGAATATATAACATTACTCTATATTTACAATGCTTGCTACAACTGTGGATTTTGTTTCGATTCATCGTTCTTTTCCTTGGCTCTAGAGGACCCAGATTACAATGGATCTACATCACTATTAAAATTAACTATGAGCGTTCCTTCTGCGACCTAGAGGATCTACTCTATGTTCCTCAGTACACCCAAAAATAGCTTTACCTTCTTAAATATCTACTTTCAGTATCGTTGCTTACACTTCTTGGTTTTAAGGCAGTACTCCTTTATTGCGCAGGTTCTTGTCATTTCAAGGTAAATGTTTAAAGAAGTCTTTTTTGATTACGCGCTGCGCTGATTTTATGGAGGTTCCACTTTAAGCAGTTTATTATTCAAAATAGATTCTTTCACTATTACCATCGTCTGATGTACTCAACTCGCTTTAAAAGCAAATTAAATTCTACCGCACAGCCTGAATTTCATGAGTCAGATTGGAGTTATTTGATTGAATTGTACACTTTTTTTTGCTGGGCCCATATTAGGACTTGTAGCGCTGCACTTTCATGCTAATGTAATACCAATGTTTAAGGTCAATTTAACTAAAATTAAAAAATTTTAGTCTTGGAAAGGTCGCTGTGAAGAGGTACTAACAGCATGTGGAAATCTGACTATAAAGCCCAACCAAGTACCCATTTGATAGCCAGAATTAGGGTCAGTATAAGTCAAATACTTGACGGGAACACGAAACGATGGTTTCCCACCTTTCCGCTCCTTATGTGGCAGTAGCTGGCGTAGTTCGAGAAAGCTTGTCCTTGCAGACGGATACCTTGAAATACATTAAGGTGATAAAAGCGAATTGTGCTTATTCCACCAACTTTCCAATAGTCCTATGTCAATTACAGCTTAAATTTCTTATATCGTCGCTCGCGAAATAGCTAAAAGCACCGATAAGCTCTAAGGTCACTATTTGCTTTCATACCTCTTAGCCTATCTGCGCTCGCTTATCGTCGGAGTCCAAACATCTATCAGTACTCGATAAACTTTTACAGAATATGAACCTTTAACCCATCAAAAATGAATTTATTTTACTAGGTGATTAAGTGTCTTTTTCTGCCGCTCACTCCGTCCTTATGCTCCTTAGCAAATCTAGCTGTTTCATTTAGATGTTTCACTCTTCGTTTCCCTGCTTGAAACATATTAACATATTTGTCTTGACTTACGTCAAAATGATTTGGTGACTTCCTGTATCAATGCGTGATGATTCTCTTTTCTTTGGCCTTTCTGTATGATACCTGAATATCTGAATATGTGTCCCGTTGTCTATTTGACTGTTTGTAGTGCGACCTTTGTGTAAATTTCTGTTTCATCGGCGTATTTGCTTCAATTTTCACTCTTAAAACCCTCATTTCAGGACAATTTATTTGTTTTCTGCTTTCAGTTGGCGGGCTGTCCTGTAGCCAAGAAGCTACTTCCACTAGTCAGCCTACAGCCCATTCAGCCAGTTCGCTCTCCTCTCAGCAACCTTCTACCGCAGGCCAGTGCCGCCACTAGCATGACCGACACAACTGCTAAGACAGAAACTAATCATGAGTCAACTTCAATCATACCTACTTCCTCCATGATTGTTTGTACAATGTCTCTTGGTGCACCGTCAGTTGCCACCACAACCAGCACCATTGCCTCTGCCAAGCCCACTTCTTGTGACGTCGGTCCGATGAGTGGGGTCATAACAGAAACAGTATCTGTTTCTGTGGCTTTAAGTGGCCAGAGGCCTGCTGCCAGGCCTCGAATGAGTAGCAATACACGAAAACAGCGCTCAGGCGGGCGTTACAAAAGACCGTCTAGGTGGGCATGTGGCCATGGGGATCTTGGCCCAGCTGGGGATGAGTCGGATGAGGGAAAAGAGAACCAAGAGAAGGAGGGAGAAGAAGAGGAGGAGGAAGAAGAAGAGGAAGATGGAGAGGAAGATAGGGATGCGGATGCAGAAGACGAGGAAGAGGAAGAGGAGGAAGAAGAAGAAGAGGAAGAAGAAGAAGAGGAAGAAAACGAAGTTGAAGACACGGGTGAACAGGGACAGAAACAGGCCCATGAGCTAGATATACAGAGATCTGTTACTACAGGTAAAGCAGCTGTGACGGATGGCAAAGTTCTTGTATCTGAAGAACCGAATTTAATTGGCTCTTTTGGGCAAGCGTGGCAGATGCTAGTTGATCAGCCGAAAGAGTGTCAACCAGCTGTAGTTAGTCTCCGCACTCTTGGAACGCGTCCAATCTGTCTCACATTAGCCTTCACAGGAAGCAATTCAGCTCCTGGTATCGCAACTGTCACCCCAAGTAACAACAGTTCTATAGCTACCGCCCAACCACCATCCACTTTCGGAGCAACTCATTTGCCATCAAGTAAGTTATCAGCCAATCGCTCTTCCTCTTGTTCAGTCTCCTCGACCAATGCGACAGCGTTAACCGGCGTCATAGACCCCGATCAGCCGGTTACCGGTACTTGCCCTATGGCCTCTGCTCTAATTCCTCTCTGTATTCCAACAAAGCCTTCGTCTCTTCTTCACTCTACTTCAACACCGACTTCGTCAATTCCCCTCGGGCCGACCAAAAATTCAGTTGCTTGCCTCTCCAGTGGTGGTCATGGAATTGCCTGTACATCGTCTTGCTCCGACTCTGGAGGCCTTATCTCGATTCTCCCCACACTCACAGGTCCCAGCTCCTTCCGTCTCACTGGGCCAGGACTCGGATCACTAGGCACTGTGGCCTCGATAACCCCATTTGCTCCGGGCATCACTAACACTACCATACTTGCCAAACAAAGCGCTTCTAGCGGTGATAATGCCACTAGCAAAGTTTCCTCTACTACCATTCTCACTAACTCTTCTATCAGTGGTCAGTTGACTAGCTCTTCTACCTTGCAACAGACCGCAGGAAGCAACGATGTAATTTGTAGTGGAGCTCGCACTATCTTGATGGCGCCGTTCACACTTTCGGCCGGCTCGGCGCTGTCCCGAGTTGGACAGGCTGGTGCACAAATTCTTGTGGCATCAACCCCTTCAGCTACACCGATAGTCTCCTCCTTATCTCCATCCTCCTCTCCCTTCGCTTCCTGTTCTGTGACCTCTTCTCCTTGTCTTGGCTCAATTACAAGCTCGAGACCAGGCTTTCCAGGCCGGCCGCTCGGCAATATTCCTGGGACTGCAACATTAATTACTTCGGGTCGGCCTCAACTTGCCTGCCTAGATATTAATAAAGCGTCTCAATTATCTCGACAGCAGATGACTCTACTTCCACTAGTGAGCGGAGCCTCTGTAAGGCCGATTTTCGTTTCACCTCCTGTCTCAAATACTGCACTCACCACACCTACTTCATTGGCACCCCCATCTACATGTTCCTTTGTTTCGACCGAGGCAATGCTCCCTGACTCGAGTCTCGCAGCAGCTCTCGTTGCAGCGGCAGGCGCCGTACCTCATTCAAATTGTCCTGTCGCTCAGATCTTGTCACCTGGGCAACTTGTTTCAACATTACCACTTCATGAGAGCCAAACAAATACCCCAAATTCCACCGCTCTGCCGAGTCTTGCTTGCCTTGTTAGGACCTTACCGGAGACAGCCGGGCGTCTTTTAAAGCCCTCTCCAGAAACGGAATCCAACACAGGGCCTTCCAATGCCCAACTCGTAACAAGACCATGCACTCTACCAGGGTTCCTGTTTCCAAGTCGCGGCCTCCAGACCCCAGGTCTCGTGATCGGTGCTGCACACAACAGCACGGCACTAGCCTCTCCGTCATCCATAACTACGACAACCGGACAGACTTCTCTATTACTCCCCGTTGCGGCGACTCATACCGGCCTCACTCTGGCCAATGGAGCACAGACTGCATTATGCCTCTCTGAGCCGACGATAATAAATTCATCGCCCGGATTCTGGTCAAGTTTGTGCTAATATTATTGATAAGCCCTTGAAATATTAACTCAAAAAACACCCAATGCTCCTTAATACAGGAGATTACTGCATTTCGAAGTAGCGACATGAGGTCCGCGTTTGTCGAGATGTTCCTCAATTGAGAACTTCGTATAAGTCCGGAAAAAGATTGGTTCATTGAAAGTTATCTATTATTTAGGGGGAAATAAATGCAGCAAGGGGAGAGTAGATTTGTTGTACCTACAAAACTTGGATACCTAATGCGGCATTTTCAGGTTGTACTGGATCAGAGAGTAAGTAAAGAGTGACTACTTTTTCTCCCGAGATCCTTGCCTTATATACTTACAGTCTAATCCATGCTATGGGGACCGGCTTGCTTGTGGAAATGATCAATATCCATTCCTTCATTCCCTGGAACAGAAGGGGAAATCCAAGATCAATTATCTGCACTGGCTATGAAGTACCAATTGGTCCATGTACTGAGTATGCAAAGTAGACCACTTGGCTTGTAAAAAAGGACTAATTGAGCGAGACTGACGGTGTGAGCACTGCTGAATATGAGAGTAGTGGTTGCAGCAAGAATATTGCTATGTAAGATATAGAATGGTCTCAAACTGGTATGTTCGCTGATTATATTGCGTCTGCTTTTAACCGGAAGATAAGAGAGGCTATTGAAATCGATGGATTAGGGAATGTGTTAAATGTGAGTAATGATGGTAGAAAGTTGAGTAGGAACTATTTCTGCTTGATTGATTGATTGATTGAAGGAGAGAGAGTATATTGGGCCGCTATCCAAAAGAAGACGACCTAAATTGCCAACTGAGTGATGATTCCAACT